TTTTTGAATAATAGATACAGCCAGGTTGCTGAGACCCACTGGGTGTTTCCCATGGTGCGTCCAGGGGCCTAAGGAGAGAGAGAGAGAGATAAATGGGTCTGAGGTCCTTCGGACAGCATCCCAAACAGAAGAAGGCAGACCAGTTGAGTTTACAAGGCATCCCTTGGGAGACTCAAGCCCTGGAGAGACATCTCTGTCTGAAGCTGGGGTGGCACTGGTGCCTTCTTGGAAGAGTAGAGCCCCCTGGGGCCTCTCTTAGCCTCAGTACTCTCCATATTTACTCAGGGAGAAGGGCAGAGCTTTCTAGGGGCCCTTTGGAAACTCCTGTGAGATCAGGGTGAGATCTTAGGCACCCGAGAAACAGTAAACTAAAAGATCAGAGGAGATTCCTCCCTGGGGGCTCCTTTAGAAACAGTCAGGGTGGATCCTCCACGTGCTTCCTTAGCCCCTTGAGAAACTTTTAAGTGATCATGGCAGAGCTCTCCTGACAAACAATATCCTTAACATTTACCCCAAACTTATTTTAGAAGTTTGATTTCTTCTATGCAGACTGCCATGGCAAATATGGCATACTGTGCCCTAAGGATCCTTTTCGGATGCATCCTGGTACAAATATATTACTTGAAGGCAGTGGAGATAGAAATCTCATTTTAGCATCTGAGGGAAAAAGTTCTAAGTACAAGGATAGCTCCACACTGCATACTCACCACCGTCTGGGTTGCCTTTTACTGGTAATTCCCTTTGTTCAGCTCAGGTCCTCAGGCACATTTCTAAATTACTTGAATTTTGGTTAGAAGAAACAAGGAAGAGATTGATCCAGAAGAGAGGCCGGGAGAAGGCCCATAAGTTTCCCCGAAGTGGAGGCTTGGCTCTGATCAATAAGGGTGAGATTTCCTTGGTGTTCATGAGGTCAGCTGAAAAAAAGAAAAGAAAGAACAAACATGACAAAGCCATGTGACCGATCCATACAACCAACCACAGAGGCCGACGACGCAAATCTGTGTGACCAACTCGCATGAACCAAAACTACATTTATTACTAGTACGTGATGAAATGCAGATCAAAATTTAAAACACTGAAAATTTGCATAATAAAATACAAAAATTAAAACTTATTCTCACTTCAAAGAAACCAGAAATTGTGGTATCGTAGCAGCAAAGTGCCAGGCAGTATATACAGCTCTAGTGTTGCAGCTGTAGTGTTGCAGCTGTAGTGTTGCAACTCTAGCGTTGCAGCTCATGTTTACAACTCTAGAGCCTACAGCCCAACACAGGTTGTCCAGGAGAATGATAGATGCACCCAGGAGTTTCAGAGGCAAAATGTGCAGCCCCGCCTTCCTTTTAAGCTAGTGGGTCAGTCTGGGACTTCTTCACAGAGACTGACTGCTCCACCGAGCCAATGCTGGGTTGTTATACCCTTAGGGAAGGGGCGGGGTTACAGGAACTAGGCACTCAACGTCATTTCATTGGTAACAAAGTTTTAAGTTTCAGTGTTTCATTTACATATAGGCCCAAGCAACCTTAACTGGTTGCAGAGTTTCACATAGAGTGGGTTCATTGGCTAACACAGTGCAGAGTTTCACCTTCTTTGCATATGGCAGGAAGGCAGGAGTAACAAAGCGATTTAAGAACAAAGAAAATTCTTGAGATGTCTGAGGGAGCTGGGCCCAGGCAGGCCCACGAATGTTAAAAGAATTGGAGGGAAGTCATCTTTCCCTATTAGCAAGTCCAGCTTTAGCTACAGAGAAGTTTTATTTCCCTTTTAGTATCTCTCATAGACAATACACTATTGGCTATCATACACCCTAGTAAAACACGTCATTACCATTTACAGCTCAACATGAGCCACGTGACCTTAAGCGTATGCACCCAATACATGTAACAATATGGAAGAAAAGAGTTTGCTTATATTTTCAGATCAGCTGTGACCTCCCCAGTGTTAAGATAGATGCCTTAGGCTGGAGTAGAGCCTCAGTGTTGGAATAATTGCCTTAGCATGTACAAGGCCCTGAGTTCAATTCCTAGTGTTTTATTTTATTATTTGGAGATAGGGTCTCACTGTAGTTCAGGCTGGCTTTGAACTCACTATGGAGCCCAGGCTGACCTCAAACTCATGGTGATCCTCCTGCCTCAGCCTCCCAAGTGTTGTGATTACAGGACTACTTAATATTTACAAATAAGACACATTACTACATTAATCAATTTATGTTATGGAGTGTTTTCTGTCTTTTTTCATTATATATCAATTTATTGGTTCTTTTTAGGTATACGGTATAGTTACATTCACCACTGGAATCTTATACCTTTACATGTCGTATCTTGGTTCTTATTTTTTCCCCAGTCCCCTGCTCTCTCCTCACTCCCTCCACCCTTCCCTATTTATAAAGACTTTGTTTCTATTTTTTCCTTTTCGCATATTTTTTCTTTTCCCTTCATTTCCCCTTGTTTTCTGCCTTTAAAAAATCCCATCAACTTTCTCCTAAGTTGTCTTCTAATAGTCCTAAGATTTTCCTTTTGATATTTAAGCCCTGGATTCATCTCGAGTTGGTCTGGTGTGTTGTGAGGCAGATGCCATCTCATGTCTTGCAGTAGGAAGTCTAATTTTTCCCCGTTCTCTTTACTGAATGGTATCTGTCATCCCTGGTCAGCCGTGCCTCCTCTGCCATGTACCAAAGCTACTCACACAGATAATATGAATCCGGGCTGTTTGTTCCATTGGCAATTTTGCTTATTCCTGATGCAGTTCTAGTTGACAGTTGTTACCACAGCTTTTTTTTTTTTTTTTTTCGGTACCAGAAATCGAACTCTGGTCCTTGCGCTTGTGAGGCAGGCGGCAGAACCGCTGAGCTAAATCCCCGGCTCCACAGTTTTTTTGTAACTCTCTCCTCTTAGAAATGCTTTGCTAATTTCTTCCATTTACCTTTCAAAATTGGATGATCAATAAAAAGAGTTTTCATGAAAACAAAAATCAGTTGGTATTTTGACTGGAATTCAAATGAATCTGGGGGTCAATTTGGGGATCGGTGACAACTTTATAATGTTAAGCCTTACTGTTTATGAACAACAGATTTCTTTATTAATTCAAGTATTTTAAAAGGGCTCAATAAATTTGTCAAATATTCTCTGCAGAAGAAACTGTCCAGGAGCAGCAGGACTGCTGATTTCCCCAAAGTGAAAGCATAGACATATTGGTTATTTTCTCCAATGAACTGCTAAAGAAAGCAGAATATCAGCCCTATTGCAGCAGAGGCCTTGGATCTAGGTGAATGAGAGGGTAGACTGGGTATCCGGGCTGGGCACTGCTAGGAAACAAGTCTATTTTAATTGCTCATAGATCTTAGACAAATCTATGTTCTCAGCTGCTAGGTCTTTAAACAGGTGAAACAGGTACTTGAGGAAATGGTACAAATGAGAATTAATCATCCTTTATCTATTAAGCTGGTTGTAATTGGTTTAAGACTTTCCTTGGCTTCTGTTTTTCTAGTGCACTAGAAAGATTAGGCGAAGATTTAGAAGAGTCGATGGTGAACTCTTGGAGGCTGTATTTCAGTTAGTTCGTTTATGTTTGCAGAGTCCGTGGCTGTTAGTGATTCTGAGACCATGGTTAATTCTTCTGTTGTTCCTTGATCATACATAGTGTAGGTATTTTAATATACATAAAAGATATAAGATCTGAGACTTCTAAAAATAAGCCTTTTGCAATACATTTCAGTTGGCAGTTCCCAGTCTCTGCTTGTCAAATATGTCAGAGAGAAGAAAGAAATTTTTTCTGCCAATGACTCCAAGGTAGCAGCCAGAGGCTAAGATAGGAGAAGGCCATAGGGCTGTTAGAAATTCCCACCATTTGGTATTTTGGTTCCCTGGGCAATCTAGTGTCCTATGGTCCTGGAATTCATGGTACATAGAGTGGCACCTGTATCAGTAAGAAAGCTGAATTTTTATCCATTTGTATTTATAAACTGTTCCCCTTAGGAATGTAGATGACATGCAGGGAGTTGTTGAGTTCAAATGTTTTTTTTTTTTTTTTTTTTTTTTTTTTTTTTCCCCCTGGGACCAACTTTGGGCGGTTTTTTTAAAAATTTTTTTTTTTTTTTTTTTTTTTTTTTGCTTTAGCACCCTGGGACAGACTTTGGACAGTTGATTTCATTTTTTTAACCTTTATATGACACTGGTTTTTCCAGTGACTTTCCAGCCTGCAATATCTACGGGAGCCTTTATTCCTAGGGTCGTGATTGTTAAAGAGCAGAAAACTTTTTGGGGGTCCATTTTGGGGATCATTTTTTTAATTGGAAAAGTCAGAAGTTGT